ACTGGACTGTGAGAAAATAAATTTCTCTTTGTTAAAGCCATCCATCCACTTGTGGTGTTTCTGTTAGAGCAGCACTAGATGACTAAGACAACCGCCTTCCTGAGGACAGGGATTATAAAACCCAGTGCCCTCCAGGGGCCAGTTCCCATGGTGAATGAGCAAGGCTGCAGGTGTTGGACAGCTGAATGGTGGGGACATTAGTCCGTTGGATGGCACAAGCCTTGCCTAGAGCAGAGAGCCACACACAGCTCCATGCTCTACTGGGTGTCCAGAGCCATTTCACGTTTTTCAAGAGAAGCCAGAAATGTGGATTGTATCGAAATCCCCCAATTTGTAAAACATTGAAAGCTAATTCAAAAGTTTTTTAAAAACCATGTGAGGCAAACAAAATATATCTGTGGGCCACCCAGAGCCTGTGGGCCCTAGTCTACGGTACCCCTTCCCCTCCATGAAGCATTCCTCAAGGCTACCTTTGGACCGCTGGCCTCTCCTCACTCTTCCCCCTTAGCAATATCATCACCTACCATTTCCTCTGCAACCAGGACTCTCTGAAATACCCCCGCCCCGGCGTAACCCTTCTCCCCACTGATTCTCCCCCACTGATTCTATTCCAGTGCCTCCCAGTCGGCCCCTGCAGCCCCATTCAGAAGAAAAATCATAACCAGCACTTATTGAGGGTTTACTATGTGTCAGGCCTGTGCTAGGGGCTTTACATAAATGTCAGAATGGGTTTCCTCCCTTCCCCATGGCTTCTCCAGAGACCAGGAAAAGAGAAAGAGACCCGTAGCCTCATGGTTATGTACTAAGGAACCCTCAGTAGTACAGAGTAAGGTCTGTGGTCCACACTCTGAAGGACCTGGAGAGACAGAACCTTCCCTCCCCCTCTAGGAGTGGGCCTCTCCTCCCTCCAGGGGGACCCTAGACTGACAGCAGGGACCTTGGGTATGGGAGAACCCAGGGGTCTGGACTGGAACCTGGTGACCCAGAGGGAGGAAGCAGGACAGAATGAGAGAGCACACCCCAGATGCCCAGTCCATTGACCTACCAATGAGCCAATGGGAAGAGTGTAAGCTGGGAGGGGTGTGGCCTTTCATTATCTGCCTTCTTACAATGTGACCCACTGTGGTCACACATTGGGGAACCCTGGCACGGGCTTGCAGGAGGTACCCGGTGACACCTGCCAAAAGCATCAAGTTTCCTGAAGGCCCACAACACATGAAAGAGGGAGGGGTTGACAAAAAAGTATCAGGATGCCAACCCCGTCCTCTGGACTGGGGTCATGCGGCTGGCCAGCCGAGATGCAGGAAGGACAGCGGCCTGCGGACTCACCGAGTCCCAGTAGGAGAGCCCACGTCCTTCCTGTTCCCGCTCCTCCACCAGCAGCAGATGCATGTCCCTTGGATAGCGAGGTGGAGAAGCAGAGAAGCCATCAATCTCCCAGTCACCTGGCATCCTTCCATCCAGCATAATTCCCCGGTAGCAGAGCCCTGACCCATGGGACGTCATGGAAAAATCACAGTGGCTTGTGACAGACAGAGGCCCAGTGTCTATGGCTGGGTTGTGGGGAGGGGAGAGAGGTGAAGGGACACGAAGGAGGCCTGCAGGTGCTGCCACTGCACAACACTGTCACAGCGACAAGGAACGGGCTCCCGGGAGATGTCTGAGTTCTGGCCCACATCCCCATTTACTCTCATCCAGTGTCACCAGGCACCTCAAATCTAATCATCCTTGTAGTGGGTTGAATAAAACAACAACAAACCTGTTGCTGAGCAGGAGAAAAGTGGGGTACAGAACTCAAATTCATGTAAGAAGACCAGACTTTATGGTCTGAGACTGGAGGAACCCCAGAAGACATGGCCCCTAGACTCTCTGTTAACCCAGAACTAAAACCATTCCCGAAGCCAACTCTTCAGACAAAGATTAGACTGGACTATAAGACATAAAATGATACTTGTGATGAGTGTGCTTCTTAGTTCAAGTAGATACACGAGACTAAATGGGCAGCTCCTGTCCGGAGGCAAGATGAAAAGGCAAAAAGGGACAGGAGCTGGTTGAATGGACACAGGAAATCCGGGGTGGAAAGCAGGAGTGTGCTGTCACATTATAGAGAGAGCAACTAGGGTCACATAACAACGTGTGTATAAATTTTTTTTTTTTTTTTGTATTTTATTGTACTTCAGGTGAAGGCTTATAGAACAAATAGTTTCTCATGAAACAGTAGTCCACATGTTGTTTTATGACATTGGTTAACAACCCCACAACATATTAACCCTCTAA